ATGATTATCTCTTTAAATATTGTTCCTTATTGTGGCGGAGTCCACCATTCCTGTGCTGGATTTAATTTGCACAGCTTCGAATGTGGCATTGACAGGAAACGATGCAGTGTGTAATCCCGTGTTTCTGTTTGTAATTTGATCTCACTGACATCACTCACACTGTTTACTGTCAAACTGTAAGAAAAGTTCCTACTGCTTAAAGCAGTGTTCTTCAAACTATTTCCCCCGCGTACCACCTCCGAAAATATTAGGCTTTACAAGTACCCAGCTACAGTTCACTCAGAAGGCAGGTTTATTCCTAATAAGAACATTTATTGTTGGCTGTTGTTGAATCTTGAACCTGGTTCAAGAACCAGAGCTGATTTGGAAGAAAAGGGGTACTCCTGATCTGCACTTCTCTTCCTAATAGTTCCTGTTTGGAGCCACAATTGCAGGGTTTTTAAACAATTCAATTTTACCTCTGCTTACTATCTTGCTACATTGTTTTTGCAACTCCCTCGTTTCACCCTCCTCTTCCAAGCGCCTTTACAGAACCAGTGTTTACAGTTTACACTGTAGAAGGGGACTCAATAGAAGGCAACATGGGTGTCTAGATAAAAACAGCTGATTCTAAGGAAACCACAACACAACAATTCCTATGTTCAGGTGATTGTACATAGTATGAAAGCATACCTATGAATATTATATTCCATTTCTGCCAATAGATCCTTCCAAATATTACACACTGGAACTTTAAAGCAACGCATTTGTCACTGAGGTTAGACTGTGAGGGCCGAACTGTGATCCTTTGTCTATTATCTATCTACAAAACAAAACTACTGTGGACTGCAGATCAATTTAAAAAATGTCTGAGTAAGGAAAGTCAGGAGCAGCCGCAGATACAGCAGAAGCTCCTGTTGTTACCACGGTAACCACAGGTATTGCCAACTCAAACCGAACTGAAAAACTTAAAGATTACAACCTTAAAACCCTGGAAACACTTTAAAACCTATTCTGCCTTAAGACAAAGTAACGATACAGACTGTAGAAGAGCAAAGGTCAGGTTGCACTGTAGCGTTTGTCATTGTTACATGTGAAGGAAAGAACGCTGCCTACCCCCAAAACAAGCTAAACCCTAAACTTGTGGTATACTTGGTCATAAGATGTCCTGACAATAAAATAGATTCATTTTGAAATAAGAAGTGATTATTGAAAACTCTAAAGAGCTGTCTATAAGACAGTAATTATCAACAGGTTGGTCAGTTTCCACTAAAATGTTCTTATGTTGAAGATGACAGTTTGATATGACACACAAGCTGAGCTAAGCATCTGTTTTGAATGAAAAGTCGTTGACCTGAAAGCGAAACTACAGTACAGGTGGTCGGAACGGGTCCCTGTCCCACAGTTTATGTGCCCCTGCAGCAGACCTAGACCTGGATCTGGACTCCCTGCCGTCATCTGTCCTGGTCTTGCTGAACCACCTCCCCGGTCAGAGTGATGGTGTGCAGGTCGGAGTACAGTGGCTGCTGCTGATGACTGCTGCCTCTCTGAACCTCGGTCTGAGTCAGCGGGTGGACCATGGACATGTGGACGTTCAGGTTGTGGGCCTTCTCGAAACGTTTGCCGCACATCAGGCACGCAAAGTCCAAGTCGGCCTCTGCCTTGTGCTTGGTCATGTGGTATTTTAGTGACGCCCGCTGGCGACACTGGAAGCCACACACCTCACATCTAAAGGGGAAAAATGGATAGCATTTATTGCGCATGTCTCCTGTCTTTACTTCTGATTTTTAAACTGGAAAACAAACTTCTGGATTATAAATTATGCACCAAAATCATGTCATGTGCATGAGGCACAGAACAGGCTGGAAATCAATGAAAATTACCAAATATCTTGGAAAAAATCTATGTTGTCCTGGAAATGTTTGTCTCCCAGGTGCGTTTTTAGTTTGAATCCGATGATATACTGTGTGACACTTCAAAACAGGTTTACCAGATGCAAAGTGGAACTGACTTGCAGTGATTTTTTTCTTATAGCTCCATGCATACAGCCTGTTAATGATTAAAATGCATTACACTTTGAATTTTTGTGTAAAGTAAAATTAATTCTGTTTGATTTGAACCGTTACGTATGGGCTGAAGCCAAATTATTTTAGTCAATTTGCCTGAAACCACAACTTATTTTACCGTTTGTAAGCAAGTGCTGTCCTGTATTGTCAAGTAAAACTTCTGGAAAATGTCCTGGAAAACCATTTGTTAGAAAGAGTGGGAGCCCTGAAGTTTTGTGGCAACTTGACATAATCAGTACTTACTGTAGTGGCTTGGCCCCTGAATGTCTCATCTGGTGAACTGACAGGTGTTTCCTCTGTTTGAAGGTTTGGCCACACTGGTCACAAATGTAGTTCCTCTCCTCTGGAAACACAGATGACAACCTTAAAGTCTCCTCCAGTCAGAAATCGTCACTGTACAGAATGCTGTCTGTGCAGAGTTTGACTCTATAAGGAGGTTTTCACATTCATCTGCT